CTGTATTCACTTCTTGGACAGCAGAGTACTGTACACACTTCTTGGACAGCAGAGTACTGTACACACTTCTTGGACAGCAGAGTACTGTATTCACTTCTTGGACAGCAGAGTACTGTACACACTTCTTGGACAGCAGAGTACTGTATTCACTTCTTGGACAGCAGAGTACTGTATTCACTTCTTGGACAGCAGAGTACTCTATTCACTTCTTGGACAGCAGAGTACTGTATTCACTTCTTGGACAGCAGAGTAATGTATTCACTTCCTGTATCACTTCTTGGACAGCAGAGTACTGTATACACTTCTTTGACAGCAGAGTACTGTATACACTTCTTTGACAGCAGAGTACTGTATACACTTCTTTGACAGCAGAGTACTGTATACACTTCTTGGACAGCAGTGCTGTATAGCCCTTGTGGCTTAGTGCTTTTTTTTTATTATAATAATAATAATTTGACAGCAGAGTACTGTAGTCACTGCCCGGATAAACTTCTTGCACCATCCATCCAGGTCACTGTGCCCAACTATCATACACACCCTACAGTACAAAGTGCTGCAATTACACTTATTACCAGTACACTTAATCTGTAATTACCTTGCAGTAAGAAAGTTGAAATACAAATCCCTCATGTGTATTGTAATTCTCTCTGTATTTTAACTAGTAGCTAATATACAGAACTGAACTGACCTGAAATTTCATTACTTTAGTACAGTATACAAGACATCACAAACCCATTACACTATTACTTAGTAGTAGTATACTAACAGAGTCTTTATCACAGTGGACCCCTCAAGGGAGGTTCCTTGATGCTGGTGAGGGGCTCTTGATCTATGGAATTGGATCTGTGCTCCAGTTCCCTGAATTGAGCCTGAATACCTTCCATCCCATTCCCATGTGTGCTGTATAATCCTATGGGTTTAGCGCTTCCCCATGATTATAATAATTATCACAGTGGATTTATTACATTAATAATCCCTTAAACTGTCCAAATGTAGATCTACTTTTTTTTCAACATTTGAAAGTACGTAAAAAACGTAATCTTTTTTTTTTTTTTTTTTTACATCTGAAAGCGTTTAAAAAAACTTTGATCTGCGTTTTTTTATATTTGAAAATATGTAAAAAAACGTAATCTACTTTTGGAGCACTACGCATGTGAACGTAGATCTATGTTTGGACAGTTTAAGGGTTAACCCCTTGACTGTCGCAACCCCCAATCCTGAGGCATCTCCTGGTGTCACAAAATTTAAAAAAAAAAAAAAAAAAATTCTTACAAAATGATAGAGAATCTTTTCCCGATTGTAATGACACCAAAAAAAATGAAATTTGATGGGAACTGACGGAATTACGCTCTCGCGAAGTTAGCGACCTTGGCGATATTTACAAATCGGCAATTTCGCCCACTTTGACCCCTATTTTCAGCTAATTCCATTGTTCCAGTCGACCAAACTCATAGCTATTTCTTTAGAACTCCGTTTTTTTCTATCGATTGAGTACAAGAAACTGCCCATTTACCAATTTCAACTACCCAATAACGTGGTCAGAAATTTGCAATTTGGCCAATTTCACGAAAATTAAAAAATATGACAATTTCAAAATAAGGTCCAGAATGAACAATGCAGACATTCCTGGCTCTAAAATAACATTTTCTTTGTTCATCAGTCATGTCTCCAGGCCCCTCTGATATTACTCTTGCTTTCTATTTTGAATTTTTTTTCAAACAAAAAATAGAGATTTACTATTATGCAGACTACTGCAATACTGTAATAATTGTATAAATAACATCAACCCATTCATGACAGCATATTAGAATGGCTAGTTGGACATTTATTGGACAATGACATCATTTGTTTACTTTTGAACATTGGCAAAAATCAAACATTTCCCCTAATTTGAGCTCCATTTCCAGGTTCTTTTTATAGTAAAATCAATCAAAATCATCCCTTTTTCTATAATATGTTTTCCATTCTATCAAACGAGACCAAGAAAACGAGAATACAACCATAAGTACTATATGAAATAGACCACAAAGTCGGCATTTTAATTAAAAAAAAATGGTCGGAGTTTTTTTTCTCATTGTGCACTGCTTGCTGCAGGATTTTTTTTATATGGTGCACACTGACCACACAGGCCCATTCTCTCACATGTGGGCCTACCAGCTTTCTCCTTCTTGATTTGAAGCCGCTAGAATTTATGAGTATATATACGTCAAACACGGTACCTCATAAGACGTATATATACGGCCGCGACAGTCAAAGGGTTAAATAATGCACAGTCCTGTTGAGGATTGAGAGAGAATGTTTGTATGTATATGTACGCACATGCACACATACCCTAAACTGTACTGCATATTCTCTATATGCCAAGTACAGTACTTATACAAAATATACTGAATTTATTTTCTTATACAGTGGACCCCCAGTTAACGATATTTGTTCACTCCAGAAGTATGTTCAGGTGCCAGTACTGACCGAATTTGTTCCCATAAGAAATATTGTGAAGTAGATTAGTCCATTTCAGACCCCCAAACATACACGTACAAACGCACTTACATAAATACACTTACATAATTGGTCGCATTTGGAGGTAATCGTTATGCGGGGGTCCACTGTAATTCAGTATCGCATTACAACAAACAGTAATAACATGTAAATAATTTTGGTGTCCAGAAATGTTCTGATGGTTATAAGTAAGATCTCTGTATAAAGTTCAACAGTCTTTCACCTATGATCTACTTTGAATTTCTTAGTAGTATACAATGAGCTCAATGACCTTGTTTTCTTAAAAGTAATGCCTAAATAATTTGTAAGTACATTATGTATACTTAAGTTCAAAGATAATTTTTCTTTAAAAAAATTAATTAAAATAATTTGTAAGTAAATCATGTACAGATTATTATGATTTCTTCTCCACTATAGGACAAAACCTTGCCAGTAAAATCCCAAGCTCAGATACCCCACCAAATGACTACCTCACCAGCAACTACCCAAACACACTGTTCCTAGCTCCGACTAACCCATACGAAGTCTCCCTTATTATCAACACGCTAAAAAACAAGGCAGGAGATTTAAATACCTTACCACCCTTTATATACAAAAAAGTGTCAAGTGCTATCACTAATCATTGCAACACTCTTTAACAAATCCATTGAATCCTCCACCTTCCCTACAGTTCTCAAAATAGCAAGGGTCACCCCGATCCACAAAGGAGGAGACCAAACAGAGTTGAATAACTTTAGGCCAATATCCAACTTACATCCTCTCTCAAAAATCTTCGAAAAATTAATTCATCAACGAATCTACTCCTACCTTATCTCCCAAAACATTCTCAACCCCTGCCAGTTTGGATTCAGGCCTAATAAAAATACTAATGATGCTATTATACACATGCTAGAACACATATACACTGCAATAGAGAAAAAAGAAGTCCCACTGGGAATCTTCATTGACTTATATAAAGCTTTTGATACAGTTGACCATGACTTGCTCCACGTAAAATTGTCACACTATGGTATAAGAGGGCACTCCCTCAACTACCTCAAGTCTTACCTCAGCAACAGAAGCCAATATACATAAATGACCTTCCAAATGCTTCGCAATTACTCAAACCCACACTATTTGCAGATGACACTACATACGTCTTCTCTCACCCGAGCCCAGTCACGCTAGCCAATACTGTAAATACCGAATTACAGAAAATATCTACCTGGATGAGGACTAACAAACTTACACTAAACATTGACAAAACCTACTTCATTCAGTTTGGTAACAGAGCTACAGATGTCCCTCTTAACATAATGATAAACGGATCACCTATCACAAAACTAACAGAGGGAAAATTCTTAGGAATCCACCTTGATAATAGACTCAAATTTCATACACATATACAACAAATTTCTAAGAAAATTTCCAAGACTGTAGGCATACTATCAAAGATACGGTACTATGTTCCACAGTCAGCCCTCCTGGCCCTATATCACTCTCTTATTTACCCCTATCTCACCTATGGAATTTGTGCATGGGGCTCAACAACAATTAACCATCTCAGACCACTAATTACTCAACAAAAGGCTGCAGTTAGAATGATAACAAATTCTCACTACAGGCAGCACACTCCACCAATATTCAATACACTAAACCTACTCACCATACAAAACATCCATACTTATTGCTGCACCTATTACATACATAGAACACTTAACTCTGATATTAACCCTCCCCTCAAACATCTCCTTGCCAACCTCAACAGAACACATGACCATAACACAAGCACAGATCACTCTTTGATGTTCCTCGTGTCCATCTCACACTATGCAAAAACTCAATGCACATAAAAGGCCCTAAAATCTGGAATTCATTACCTGTGAATATAAAAGAAACACTACCTGTTTATAAATTCAAGTCTCTTCTCAAAGATCACTTACTCACCCAAAACCAAATAAATACTGAATAACTGAACCTTATAAATTGTATATCTTAAATGTTTCTCACAATTATATCACATAAATGTTAAACCTAAAACCCAATGTAACTTTATTATTTTTTAAATACACTACCTAACAGAATCCTTCATATGACTGAATGCAACCATATGACCTGTCTTTGTAATACTCACTTGTGCTTTATAGTTATCTGTTTACATTAATGTTTTATCACTGATTTCATCATTGCTTAGTTAATCTTAAGTTAATTTTAAGCCAGCCCGTAATGCTATGCATAGTATAAGTGGCTTTGGCATGCTGCTCTTATCTGTATTTTTTGTACCTCTGTATGTGTGCTCAAATTGGAAATAAATAAATAAATAAATAATCAATCATGTACAGATAAGCTCGAAGATAATTTTTCTTTAAAAAAATTAATTAAAATAATTTGTCAGTAAATCATGTACAGATTATTATTATTATTATTATTATTATTATTATTATTATTATTATTATAATCAATCATGTACAGATAAGCTCGAAGATAATTTTTCTTTAAAAAAAAAAAAAAAAAACTATCTGCAGCACACGATCCTTGTAAATTAACTGAAAAATACAAAATAGACAAACTATTATGTGCTGCAATTGCATCTTTAAGAAATCTAACATAAATCTGAAATTAAATTGAAAAAAACAATCCTTAAGAAAAACTACATGCGTATATTTTTTTTTCGCAAAATATAAAATTACTGTAAAAATAAAAACTTACAAGTATTAAATGCCACGATTTGTTAATATAAAAATACAATACTAGTCTGTAATGGTGCCAAGAATATATGCACCGAATGATGTATATCTCAAAGTGTGTGTGCTGTATGCAAACAGTTTAATCTCTATTTTAGGGACATATTCTTGGTTAATGGTGAACAAGTAACGTGAAGACTTAATGATCCATATGTAGTAGATATCCTTCAAACCGAATTAACCAAGTAACCAACAATTTCAAAACAGGCAACATGCAGCATTAATGACTTGTGTAGTTGATAGGTAATAAACCCAATTAACCAAATAAAAACAAAATTATGGTTCCCAGAGGTTCCACGAGTGTGTGGATGTGAGGTGTTGCACGCAAAGAGTATGTAATCTTTATTCGGAGCATGTTAACACACTCGCGTAGGCTGCCTCACCAACCAGCGAACCAGATGCTAAGGGTCGGGCAATCGGGGCCCCATCGTCAGATCAGTATCTAGGTTCAGCCAATAAGAAGGTGGATCTGGCAATTGTGAAGGTGACATGGATACCACTCACATTCTCACCCCTGTCATTTCCATTCGAGAGCTGGTTGAAGCACGGTCTGCTTTCTGTTGGCTTCAATTTTGCATTGATTACCGTGGCATGCACTAATGCCTATTACTGTACATAGTGTATATAGTGTACATACTACTGTTTACACTAGGTGAAGGATAATACATTTCAAAGTTTTTCTGCTGTGTTTATTTTGCTCCCTTTACAGCTAGGATAACAGGCCTTTGAGTACCTGGATTGTAATATGAATCATGCTGGGTGTTTGTGATACATAGATCACACAGGATCTACGAGTGTGTGGATGTGAGTCGCGCTGGGTGTTTGTGATACATAGATCACACAGGATCCACGAGTGTGTGAATGTGAGTCGTGCCGGGTGTTTGTGATACATAGATCACACAGGATCCACGAGTGTGTGAATGCGAGTCGTGCTGGGTGTTTGTGATACATAGATCACACAGGATCCACGAGTGTGTGGATGTGAGTCGTGCTGGGTGTTTGTGATACATAGATCACACAGGATCCACAAGTGTGTGGATGTGAGTCGTGCTGGGTGTTTGTGATACATAGATCACACAGGATCCACGAGTGTGTGGATGTGAGTCGTGCTGGGTGTTTGTGATACATAGATCACACACACAGGCTTAATATAAGTACGTAGTTCTACTGCAAAGTTCAAATTCAACATTTTAACATTACAAACTATTATTCACCATTGATTCTACACCTATTTTTGGTCACTATTCACAGTGAGGCTGAGCTGTATGACCCTTTGATAAACCTTTGATGAGTTTTGAGAGTCCCTACTCTTGGAGTCATCTGGTGCTAGCCTGGTCAATTAGGCTGTTGCTGGTGGTGGCCCGCTGCCCCACATATCCATCACAGCCTGGTCGATCTGGCACCTGTTAAAAATACTTGTCCAGTTTTCTCTTAAAGACTTCTATACTTGTCCCAACCATGTTTCTTTATATCTTCTGATAAGATGCTGAATAATCTGGGGCCACGAATGTTGATACAGTGTTCCCTTATTGTCCCCACCGCACCCCTGCTCCTCACTGGGTTGATTTTGCACTTGCTCCCATATCTCTCACTCCAGTATGCTGTTATGGCAGTGTGTTGATTTGGGACCAGGCCCTTGATTATTTTCCCTAGGCCCTTGAATACTTTCCCTATACCCTTGAGTATTTTCCCTAAGCCCTCAAATACTTTCCCTAGGCCCTTGAGTATTTTCCCTAACCCCTCAAGTACTTTCCCTTGGCCCTCGAGTACTCTCCCTATGCCATCGAGTACTTTCCCTAGGCCCTCGAGTGCTTTCCTTGTGGGTTTAGCACTTAGTTTTCATTGTAATAATTTTCACATTGAAGAGTAAAGTAAATTATACTCTTCTGATGGTTATAGTTCACTTCTGTCTTGGGGTAAATCCTGAGGACTGACACAGCGGCAGGCACCATGTTGAGCCTCCTTGTATGAGGTGCACCCAAGTGCCATCGTGGCTGTGTAGAGTAACTTGGCACCGCCCTTGCACTTCGTATACGTCAAAGTGTCCATCTGGTGCTGGTTGACTTCACATGTGCTGTACAGACATCTTCTGAACCTCAGATCACATTCTTCTTTATTGCTGCCACAAGTGTCATAACAGATGTCGTGGTCGTTGCAGCAGTCGACCATTTCTGGCCTCGACAGGTCTTCCTTCTCGAAAAACACACCGAAGGAGCCACAACCATTAGCCTGGTAAGTAAATAAGTTTATTCAGGTATACATAAACACAGTTACATTGATTATCATAAATAGCAGCATATGTGTAGACAACCTGGGATAACCTAAACAAGTGACTTATTTGCATTATTGTTATTATAATCATGGAGAGCGCTAAACCCATATTATTATAATAAAAAAGAAGCGCTAAACCACAAGGGTTATACAGTGCTAAACCTGTAGGATTATACAGTGCATGTGGGGGGGGATGGAAGGTATTCAGGCTTAATTCAGGGAACTGGAGCACAGGTCTAATTCCCTAGATCAAGAGCCCCCCTGAGGGGATTTATTTCCACTGGGGTGCCCCCCTCAAGGTAGCTTCCTTGATGCTGGTGAGGGGCTCTTGATCTAGGAAAGTGGATCTGTGCTCCAGTTCCCCGAATTAAGCCTGAATACCTTCCACATCCCCCCCACAGGAGCTGTATAATCCAACGGGTTTAGCGCTTCCCCTTGATAATACTCCACTAGAGTGCTGTACCTGGGGTTTGTGAGTGTTATCATGGACGGGGATCTTATTGTTCTTGCACTTATAAATACATTCTTCCTCCACCGTCGCATCGATGATGTTCTCCACATATTTGACTGTTTTTGTGATGGTGTTGAGACCCTTGTTGACAGCGATGGCGACCTCCCTCAGGGTCTCCTGGGCCTCCATCATGTTGTTATACAGAGCATCAAAGTAACCTTGACCACACACTACACTCATCAAGGTCATCAAGGTCACCACTAACATCATCATCATCAACCAACACTGACTCAAACTACATAAAGTTACCTCACTATACGGACAGGTATTGTACTTGTTGTTGTTGATAGTTTATAGGGCCACTGACAGTCTATGTCGTATATTCCTTCATTACCAGAATGTTTTTTTCATCACTGTTATGCCATAATATGGTTATAATTAGCACCTAACTGTTCCTCAGATTTTATTATGGATCACACAATATGTAGTTCTTCATTATTTGATATAAAATTTTTATTTTTGCAGAAAATGCGTAATTCTATAGTAACTTAGTCATAGTTGTTGCTGTTTATAAGGGCCATTGACGGCTTCAGTAATATCGAGCCGTCCAGTGTCTGGGGAAGAAACCTCGACCATAGTGGAGGGTAGACTGACATATTTATGCAATATATGGGAATCGTTATGTTGCACAAGTCTCATTCATCAACTTGTAGGTTTTCTAAACCAGGCTTGGTTACAAGTACTGGCTGATGTTGTAGTGGCCAGACTTAAGCTTGGTTACAAGTACTGACTGATGTTGTAGTGGCCAGACTTAGGATTGGTTACAAGTACTGACTGATGTTGTAGTGGCCAGGCTTAGGCTTGGTTACAAGTACTGACTGATGATGTAGTGGCCAGGCTTAGGCTTGGTTACAAGTGCTGACTGATGATGTAGTGGCCAGGCTTAGGCTTGGTTACAAGTACTGACTGATGTTGTAGTGGCCAGACTTAGGCTTGGTTACAAGTACTGACTGATGTTGTGGTGGCCAGACTTAGGCTTGGTTACAAGTACTGACTGATGTTGTAGTGGCCAGGCTTAGGCTTGGTTACAAGTACTGACTGATGTTGTAGTGGCCAGGCTTAGGCTTGGTTACAAGTGCTGACTGATATTGTAGTGGCCAGGCTTAGGCTTGGTTACAAGTACTGACTGATGTTGTAGTGGCCAGACTTAGGCTAGGTTACAAGTACTGACTGATGTTGTAGTGGCCAGGCTTAGGCTTGGTTACAAGTACTGACTGATGATGTAGTGGCCAGGCTTAGGCTTGGTTACAAGTACTGACTGATGATGTAGTGGCCAGGCTTAGGCTTGGTTACAAGTGCTGACTGATGTTGTAGTGGCCAGACTTAAGCTTGGTTACAAGTACTGACTGATGTTGTAGTGGCCAGACTTAGGATTGGTTACAAGTACTGACTGATGTTGTAGTGGCCAGGCTTAGGCTTGGTTACAAGTACTGACTGATGATGTAGTGGCCAGGCTTAGGCTTGGTTACAAGTGCTGACTGATGATGTAGTGGCCAGGCTTAGGCTTGGTTACAAGTACTGACTGATGTTGTAGTGGCCAGACTTAGGCTTGGTTACAAGTACTGACTGATGTTGTGGTGGCCAGACTTAGGCTTGGTTACAAGTACTGACTGATGTTGTAGTGGCCAGGCTTAGGCTTGGTTACAAGTACTGACTGATGTTGTAGTGGCCAGGCTTAGGCTTGGTTACAAGTGCTGACTGATATTGTAGTGGCCAGGCTTAGGCTTGGTTACAAGTACTGACTGATGTTGTAGTGGCCAGACTTAGGCTAGGTTACAAGTACTGACTGATGTTGTAGTGGCCAGGCTTAGGCTTGGTTACAAGTACTGACTGATGATGTAGTGGCCAGGCTTAGGCTTGGTTACAAGTACTGACTGATGATGTAGTGGCCAGGCTTAGGCTTGGTTACAAGTGCTGACTGATGTTGTAGTGGCCAGGCTTAGGCTTGGTTACAAGTACTGACTGATGATGTAGTGGCCAGGCTTAGACTTGGTTACAAGTACTGACTGATGATGTAGTGGCCAGGCTTAGGCTTGGTTACAAGTACTGACTGATGTTGTAGTGGCCAGGCTTAGGCTTAGTTACAAGTACTGACTGATGTTGTAGTGGCGGCCAGGCTTAGGCTTGGTTACAAGTACTGACTGATGTTGTAGTGGCCAGGCTTAGGCTTGGTTACAAGTACTGACTGATGTTGTATTGGCCAGGTTTAGGCTTGGTTACAAGTACTGACTGATGTTGTAGTGGCCAGGCTTAGGCTTGGTTACAAGTACTGACTGATGTTGTAGTGGCCAGGCTTAGGCTTGGTTACAAGTACTGACTGATGTTGTAGTGGCCAGACTTAGGCTTGGTTACAACTACTGACTGATGTAGTGGCCAAACTTAGGCTTGGTTACAACTACTGACTGATGTTGTAGTGGTCAGACTTAGGCTTGGTTACAAGTACTTCTGGCAGTTTGGGAGACACACAGATGATGATCAAACTAAATGCAAATTATGTGATCAGGCATATGGTCACTGTACTCACCTATTTGTGATTGCAGGGGTCGAGACTCAGCTCCTGTCCCCACCTCTTCACTGATCGCTAGTAGGTCCTCTCTCTCACTGCTCCATGAGCTTTATCATACCTCGTCTTAAAGCTATGTATCGTTCCTGCCTTCACTACATCACTTGCTAGACCATTTCACTTCCTGACAACTCTATGACTGAAGAAATACTTCCTAACATCCTTTTGACTCATCTGGGTCTTCAACTTCCAATTGTGACCCCTTGTTTCTGTGTCCCATCTCTGGAACATCCTATCTCTGTCCTCCTTATCTATTCCACGCAGTATTTTATATGTCATTATCATGTCTCTCCTAACCCTCCTGTCCTCTAGTGTCGTCAGGCCGATTTCCCTCAACCTTTCATCGCAGGACATTTCCCTGAGTTCCGGAACTAGTCTTGTTGCAAACCTTTGCACTTTCTCTAATTTCTTGACGTGCTTGACCAGGTGTGGGTTCCAAACTGGTGCTGCTTACTCCAGTATGGGCTGACGTACACGGTGTACAGAATCTTGAACGATTCCTTACTGAGATATTGGAACGCTATTCTCAGGTTTGCCAGGCGCCCATATGCTGCAGCAGTTATCTGGTTAATGTGTGCTTCTGGAGACGTGTTCGGTTTTATGGTCACCCCAAGATCTTCCTCCTTGAGTGAAGTTTGCAGTCTTTGGCCACCGAGCCTATACTCTGTCTACGGTCTTCTTTGCCCTTCCCCGATCTTCATGACTTGGCATTTGGTGGGGTTAAATTCGAGAAGCCAGTTGCTGGACCAGGTGTCCAGCCTGTCCAGGTCTCTTTGTAGTCCTGCCTGATCCTCATCTGATTTAATTCTTCTCATTAACTTCACATCATCTGCGAAAAGGAATACTTTTGAGTCTATCCCGTCCATCATGTTATTCACGTATACCAAAAATAGCACTGGTCCTAGGACTGACCCCTGTGGGATCCCGCTCGTCACAGGCATCCACTGTGATACCTCATCACGTACCATGACTCGTTGTTGCCTCCCTGTCAGGTATTCTCTGATCCATTGCAGTGTCCTTCCTGTTATACGTGCCTGATCCTCCAGCTTCTGCACTAATCTCTTGTGAGGAACTGTGTTGAAGGCCTTCCTGCAGTCCAGGAAAATGCAATCAACCCATCCCTCTCTCTCGTGTCTTACTTCTGTAACTTTGTCGTAAAACTCCAGAAGGTTTGTGACACAGGATTTGCCTTCCATGAATCTGTGCTGGTTGTCATTTATAATCTTGTTCCGTTCCAGGTGCTCCACCACTCTCCTCCTGATAATCTTCTCTATGACTTTGCAAACTATACACGTCAGAGACACTGGTCTGTAGTTTAATGCCTCGTTTCTGTCTCCTTTCTTAAAAATGGGGACTATATTTGCCGTCTTCCATATCTCAGGTAGCTGCCCAGTTTCAAGGGATGTATTAAAGAATGTGGTCAGTGGCACACACAGCATCTCTGCTCCCTCTTTAAGGACCCACAGGGAGATGATGTCCGGTCCCACCAGCTTTTAGGTATCAAGGTCACTTAGCAGCTTCTTCACCTCCTCCTCAGTTGTGTGTATGTCATCCAACACTTGTTGGTATATTCCTTGTTGGTGTTCCCCTCTATGCTGTCTTCCCAGAGTCCTTCCTCTCTGCATTGCAAATACTTCCTTAAATCTCATGTTGAGCTCCTGACATACCTCGTGGTCGTTTCTTGTGAGTTCCCCACCTTCTTTCCTCAGCCTGATTACCTGGTCTTTGACTGTCTTCCTCCTAATGTGGCTATACAGCAGTTTCGGGTCAGATTTGACTTTTGATGCTGCGTTATTTTCATACTGTCGTTGGGCCTCCCTCCTTACCTGTGCATACTCGTTTCTGGCACTTCAATTAATCTCTTTATTTTCCTGTGTCCTTTGCCTTCTGTACTTTTTCCATTCTCTAGTGCACTTAGTTTTTTCCTCCTTACACCGTCTGGTAAACAAGGGACTCGTTCTGGTCTATGAAACATGTCAAGATATCTTATTAATGAAAATAAGATACCAGATATACTAAGCAAATTCCCTAAATTTGCTTGTAACAGATGAGTGAACTGTACATATGTAGATACAAACCCAAATGTACACCTGTTAACCCTTTTGAGGCCTAGTTCCTAGGCCTATTGTGTATCTATATGGTCTTGTGCTATGAAAATCCTAATGCAGTGTGGGCCCATGTGGGATTGCTGCTCTTAATAATAATAATAATAATAATAATAATAATAATAATAATAATAATAATAATAATAATAATATTTATTTTTTCAAGTACGTGTAATCATCATTATTATTAGTTTGCCTAATAAACACAGTCATGTTAGTGGCTTTCTTTGTGCTTAATAATATTTTATTATACATAAACTATTTTTGTATATTACAACAAGAAATAAAATTTGATTGTATTATTGTTTGTAATGTATTAATATGTTGTAGTGTTTATTGTATTATTGTTTGTAATGTATTAATACGTTGTAGTGTTGATGTATTATTGTTTGTAATGTATTAACATGTTGTAGTGTTGATTGTATTATTGTTTGTAATATATTAATACGTTGTAGTGTTGTTGTATTATTGTTTGTAATGTATTAACATGGTGTAGTGTTGTTGTATTATTGTTTGTAATATATTAATATGTTGTAGTGTTGTTGTATTATTGTTTGTAATGTATTAATATGTTGTAGTGTTGTTGTATTATTGTTTGTAATGTATTAACATGGTGTAGTGTTGTTGTATTATTGTTTGTAATGTATTAACATGGTGTAGTGTTGTTGTATTATTGTTTGTAATGTATTAACATGTTGTAGTGTTGTTGTATTATTGTTTGTAATGTATTAATATGTAGTAGTGTTGTTGTATTATTGTTTGTAATGTATTAGCTTGGTGTAGTGTTGTTGTATTATTGTTTGTAATGTATTAACATGGTGTAGTGTTGTTGTATTATTGTTTGTAATGTATTAATATGTTGTAGTGTTGTTGTATTATTGTTTGTAATGTATTAACATGGTGTAGTGTTGTTGTATTATTGTTTGTAATGTATTAACATGGTGTAGTGTTGTTGTATTATTGTTTGTAATGTATTAACATGTTGTAGTGTTGTTGTATTATTGTTTGTAATGTATTAACATGGTGTAGTGTTGTTGTATTATTGTTTGTAATGTATTAACATGGTGTAGTGTTGTTGTATTATTGTTTGTAATGTATTAACATGGTGTAGTGTTGATTGTATTATTGTTTGTAATGTATTAACATGGTGTAGTGTTGTTGTATTATTGTTTGTAATGTATTAACATGGTGTAGTGTTGATTGTATTATTGTTTGTAATGTATTAATATGTTGTAGTGTTGTTGTATTATTGTTTGTAATGTATTAGTTGGTTGTAGTGTTGTTGTATTATTGTTCGTAATGTATTAGCTTGGTGTAGTGTTGTTGTATTATTGTTTGTAATGTATTAGCTTGGTGTAGTGTTGTTGTATTATTGTTTGTAATGTATTAATATGTTGTAGTGTTGATTGTATTATTGTTTGTAATGTATTAATATGTTGTAGTGTTGTTGTATTATTGTTTGTAATGTATTAATATGTTGTAGTGCTGTTGTATTATTGTTTGTAATGTATTAATATGATGTAGTGTTGTTGTATTATTGTTTGTAATGTATTAATATGGTGTAGTGTTGTTGTATTATTGTTTGTAATGTATTAATATGTTGTAGTGTGATTGTATTATTGTTTGTAATGTATTAATATGTTGTAGTATGATTGTATTATTGTTTGTAATGTATTAACATGGTGTAGTGTTGATTGTATTATTGTTTGTAATGTATTAACATGGTGTAGTGTTGTTGTATTATTGTTTGTAATGTATTAACATGTAGTGTTGTATTATTGTTTGTAATGTATTAACATGGTGTAGTGTTGTTGTATTATTGTTTGTAATGTATTAATATGTTGTAGTGTTGATTGTATTATTGTTTGTAATGTATTAACATGGTGTAGTGTTGTTGTATTATTGTTTGTAATGTATTAATATGTTGTAGTGTTGATTGTATTATTGTTTGTAATGTATTAACATGGTGTAGTGTTGATTGTATTATTGTTTGTAATGTATTAACATGGTGTAGTGTTGTTGTATTATTGTTTGTAATGTATTAACATGCTGTAGTGTTGATTGTATTATTGTTTGTAATGTATTAACATGGTGTAGTGTTGTTGTAGTATTGTTTGTAATGTATTAACATGGTGTAGTGTTGATTGTATTATTGTTTGTAATGTATTAATATGTTGTAGTGTTGTTGTATTATTGTTTGTAATGTATTAATATGTTGTAGTGTTGTTGTATTATTGTTTGTAATGTATTACTATATTGTATTATTGTTTGTAATGTATTAATATGTTGTAGTGTTGATTGTATTATTGTTTGTAATGTATTAATATGTTGTAGTGTTGTTGTATTATTGTTTGTAATGTATTAATATGTTGTAGTGTTGATTGTATTATTGTTTGTAATGTATTAACATGGTGTAGTGTTGTTGTATTATTGTTTGTAATGTATTAATATGTTGTAGTGTTGTTGTATTATTGTTTGTAAAGTATTAACATGGTGTAGTGTTGTTGTATTATTGTTTGTAATGTATTAACATGGTGTAGTATTGTTGTATTATTGTTTGTAATGTATTAATACATTGTAGTGTTGTTGTATTATTGTTTGTGATGTATTAATACATTGTAGTGTTGTTGTATTATTGTTTGTAATGTATTAATATGGTGTAGTGTTGTTGTATTATTGTTTGTAATGTATTAATACATTGTAGTGTTGTTGTATTATTGTTTGTAATGTATTAATATGTTGTAGTGTTGATTGTATTATTGTTTGTAATGTATTAATATGTTGTAGTGTTGTTGTATTATTGTTTGTAATGTATTAACATGGTGTAGTGTTGTTGTATTATTGTTTGTAATGTATTAACATGGTGTAGTGTTGTTGTATTATTGTTTGTAATGTATTAACATGTTGTAGTGTTGTATTATTGTTTGTAATGTATTAACATGGTGTAGTGTTGTTGTATTATTGTTTGTAATGTATTAACATGGTGTAGTGTTGTTGTATTATTGTTTGTAATGTATTAACATGGTTGTTTGTGTTGTTGTATTATTGTTTGTAATGTATTTTAAATGATGTAGTGTTGTTGTATTATTGTTTGTAATGTATTAACATGGTGTAGTGTTGTTGTATTATTGTTTGTAATGTATTAACATGGTGTAGTGTTGTTGTATTATTGTTTGTAATGTATTAACATGATGTAGTGTTGTTGTATTATTGTTTGTAATGTATTAACATGGTGTAGTGTTGTTGTATTATTGTTTGTAATGTATTACATGGTGTAGTGTTGTTGTATTATTGTTTGTAATGTATTAACATGGTGTAGTGTTGTTGTATTATTGTTTGTAATGTATTAACTTGGTGTAGTGTTGTTGTATTATTGTTTGTAATGTATTAACATGGTGTAGTGTTGATTGTATTATTGTTTGTAATGTATTAATGGTGTAGTGTTGATTGTATTATTGTTTGTAATGTATTAATATGTTGTAGTGTTGTTGTATTATTGTTTGTAATGTATTAACATGGTGTAGTGTTGTTGTATTATTGTTTGTAATGTATTAACATGGTGTAGTGTTGTTGTATTATTGTTTGTAATGTATTAACATGGTGTAGTGTTGTTGTATTATTGTTTGTAATGTATTAACATGGTGTAGTGTTGTTGTATTATTGTTTGTAATGTATTAACATGGTGTAGTGTTGTTGTATTATTGTTTGTAATGTATTAACATGGTGTAGTGTTGTTGTATTATTGTTTGTAATGTATTAACATGGTGTAGTGTTGTTGTATTATTGTTTGTAATGTATTAACATGGTGTAGTGTTGTTGTATTATTGTTTGTAATGTATTAACATGGTGTAGTGTTGTTGTATTATTGTTTGTAATGTATTAACATGATGTAGTGTTGTTGTATTATTGTTTGTAATGTATTAAAAATGGTGTAGTGTTGTTGTATTATTGTTTGTAATGTATTAACATGGTGTAGTGTTGTTGTATTATTGTTTGTAATGTATTAACATGGTGTAGTGTTGTTGTATTATTGTTTGTAATGTATTAACATGGTGTAGTGTTGTTGTATTATTGTTTGTAATGTATTAACATATTGTAGTGTTGTTGTAGTATAATAAGCGATCAGTTGGTAATGTAAACAAGAGGTGGCGAGGTGGAGGCTTTCACCGCCCTCACTCTTATATTTGACTCTTGTTGAGCTCTTAGGCACTTTGTTGGAGGTTTAATGACTTGTAATAAGTGGTAAGTGTGTGTAGCAGTGTTGGAGACACTTTGTGGTGGTGGTGGTGGAGAGTAAGTGTCTCAGATGTTGTGTTTTATGTTACGTTCTTCATGTTTCTTTATTCCTCCTCCAGGTAGGTTCCTCCAGGCTGGTGGGGGCTTTTGATCCAGGGTATTGGAGCTGTGCTGCCGTTCCCCGAATTGAGTCTGAATACCTTCCATCTCTCCCCCCTCCCCACACGTGTATAATCCTACGGGTTTAGCGCTCCCCCATGATTATACTAATTTTCTTTATTCACCGTAAATTCAAGAATATTTTTTTGTATATTGTTAATTTGTTAAATATTAAGTTAATGTTTAACATTGTTCATGTTATATTCTTGTACAATAATATTTAATGTTCAATAATAGATTATTGTATTTATTTTGAATATTTGAATGTTTTTGTTTATTGTTTTTTTTAATTAATTAATGTATTGGTTAAGTTCTTGCGTGTGTTTGTACTTACGTGTTCGTGCGTGTGTTTGTACTTACGTGTACTTGTTTGTGCTTACGTGTACTTGCGTGTGTTTGTACTTACATGTTCTTGTGTGTGTTTGTACTTACGTGTACTTGTGTGTGTTTGTACTTACGTGTACTTGTGTGTGTTTGTACTTACGTGTACTTGTGTGTGTTTGTACTTACGTGTTTGTGCGTGTGTTTGTACTTACGTGTACTTGCGTGTGTTTGTACTTACGTTTTACTTGTGTGTGTTTTGTATTACGTGTTTGTGCTTGGGGTTTGTATCTTGTTACTTGCGTGTGTTTGTACTTACGTGTACTTGTGTGTGTTTGTACTTACGTGTACTTGCATGTGTTTGTACTTACGTGTTCTTGTGTTTGTACTTACGTGTTTGTGCGTGTGTTTGTACCTACGTGTACTTGTGTTTGTACTTACGTGTACTTGTGTTTGTACTTACGTGTACTTGCGTGTGTTTGTACTTACATGTTCTTGTGTGTGTTTGTACTTACGTGTACTTGTGTGTGTTTGTACTTACGTGTTCTTGTGTGTGTTTGTACTTACATGTACTTGCATGTGTTTGTACTTACGTGTTCTTGTGTGTGTTTGTACTTACATGTACTTGCGTGTGTTTGTACTTACATGTACTTGCATGTGTTTGTACTTACGTGTTCTTTTGTGTGGTTTTACTTACGTGTACTTGCGTGTGTTTGTACTTACGTGTACTTGCGTGTGTTTGTACTTACGTGTTCTTGCATGTGTTTGTACTTACGTGTACTTGCGTGTGTTTGTGCTTACGTGTACCTACGTGTGTTTGTACTTACGTGTTCTTGTGTGTGTTTGTACTTACGTGTTCTTGTGTGTGTTTGTACTTACGTGTACTTGCGTGTGTTTGTACTTGGTTTTACTTGCGTGTGTTTGTGCTTACGTGTACCTACGTGTGTTTGTACTTACGTGTTCTTGCATGTGTTTGTACTTACGTGTACTTGTACTTGTGTCTCATTCATCAGTTTGTCAGTTTTCTGAACCATTGATTGCTGGCCCCTCAAGGGAGGTTCCTTGATGCTGGTGAGGGGCTCTTGATCTAGGAAGTTGGATCTGTACTCCAGTTCCCTGAATTAAACATGAATACCTTCCATCCCCCCCTCCCCCAACAGGCGCTGGATAATCCTGTGGGTTTAGCTCTCCCCATGATAATAATAATAATAATAATGATAATAATAATAATATGGTTGCATAACATACAAGCATGACCTACTTCCAGCTGTGGATTTTTTCACTGGTGAAGCTGCCTATGATGGCTTCACCTCACCCTTCTCATTGCATATATTGTATTTTTATCAAGACTGATGGACTGATCGCATCAACTCCAGGCGGAGGGGCTGATTACCTCATACGCCTTCTGATCCTCCACCATTCTTCTCTGTATTGGACTGACGAAGCCATTGGCTGGCAAAATATTTCCTCAATGAAGAGTTGTAAATGTTATACAAGTGTCTCATTCATTTGTCGGTTTTTTGAACCATTTATCAGCAATAATAATTAAGAGTAAGACGGAGAATAGGATAGCAGATGAACAAGGAGGCTTTAGGAAAGGTAGGGGGTGTGTGGACCAGGTGTTTACAGTGAAACATATAAGTGAACAGTATTTAGATAAGGCTAAAGAGGTCTGTGTGGCATTTATGGATTTGGAAAAGGCTTATGACAGGGTGGATAGGGGGGCAATGTGGCAGATGTTGCAGGTGTATGGTGTAGGAGGTAGGTTACTGAAAGCAGTGAAGAGTTTTTACGAGGATAGTGAGGCTCAAGTTAGAGTATGTAGGAAAGAGGGAAATTATTTCCCAGTAAAAGTAGGCCTTAGACAAGGATGTGTGATGTCACAGTGGTTGTTTAATATATTTATAGATGGGGTTGTAAGAGAAGTAAATGCGAGGGTCTTGACAAGAGGCGTGGAGTTAAAAGATAAAGAATCACACACAAAGTGGGAGTTGTCACAGTTGCTCTTTGCTGATGACACGGTGCTCTTGGGAGATTCTGAAGAGAAGTTGCAGAGATTGGTGGTTGAATTTGGTAGGGTGTGCAAAAGAAGAAAATTAAAGGTGAATACTGGAAAGAGTAAGGTTATGAGGATAACAAAAAGATTAGGTGATGAAAGATTGAATATCAGATTGGAGGGAGAGAGTATGGAGGAGGTGAATGTATTCAGATATTTGGGAGTGGACGGTCAGCGGATGGGTCTATGAAAGATGAGGTGAATCATAGAATTGATGAGGGAAAAAGAGTGAGTGGTGCACTTAGGAGTCTGTGGAGACAAAGAACTTTGTCCTTGGAGGCAAAGAGGGGAATGTATGAGAGTATAGTTTTACCAATGCTTTTATATGGGTGTGAAGCATGGGTGATGAATGTTGCAGCGAGGAGAAGGCTGGAGCAGTGGAGATGTCATGTCTGAGGGCAATGTTGTGGCGTGAAATATAATGCAGAGAATTCGTAGTTTGGAAGTTAGGAGGAGGTGCTGGGATTACAAAACTGTTGTCCAGAGGGCTGAGGAAGGGTTGTTGAGGTGGTTCGGACATGTAGAGAGAATGGAGCGAAACAGAATGACTTCAAGAGTGTATCAATCTGTAGTGGAAGGAAGGGGGGTAGGGGTCGCCTAGGAAAGGTTGGAGAGAGGGGGTAAAGGAGGTTTTGTGTGCGAGGGGCTTGGACTTCCAGCAGGTATGCATGAGCGTGTTTGATAGGAGTGAATGGAGACAAATGGTTTTTAATACTTGACGTGCTGTTGGAGTGTGAGCAAAGTAACATTTATGAAGGGGTTCAGGGAAACCGGCAGGCCGGACTTGAGTCCTGGAGATGGGAAGTACAGTGCCTGCACTCTGAAGGAGGGGTGTTAATGTTGCAGTTTAAAAACTGTAGTGTAAAGCACCCTTCTGGCAAGACAGTGATGGAGTGAATGATGGTGAAAGTTTTTCTTTTTCGGGCCACCCTGCCTTGGTGGGAATCGGCCAGTGTGATAATAAAAAATATAAAAAATAATTATATTTAATTAAGACCATCTGATGAATGTTCAGTGGTGATGAGTTATGTAGATTTAACCCACAGTGGTGTGTAGAGGTCTGGTGATGCCCGGGGCCAACTCCTTGATTGTATGTGCCAAAGAGTCCTTGATTGTATGCCCCAAAGAGTCCTTGATTGTATGCCCCAAAGACTCCTTGATTGTATGTGCCAAAGAGTCCTTGATTGTATGCCCCAAAGACTCCTTGATTGTATGCCCCAAAGACTCCTTGATTGTATGCCCCAAAGACTCCTTGATTGTATTCCCCAAAGACTCCTTGATTGTATGCCCCAAATCACTATCTGATTTTCCCCTCAAATTGGATCTCCCCTGATTTGGATGCCCGGGGCCACTGCCCCTTTGGCCCCTCCCTCTGCACACCACTGTTAACCCAGGATAACCCAGCAGAGTGCATTAGTATGATGCAGTTTCATTGAGGTTATGCACTGGAAAAAAATACACTTGTAATATACATAAATTAATGAGTTACAAAACCAACAGATTGATGAGTAAGATTCAGGTGATATCTTTACTCTAGAGATGTTTTGCCAACCAGTTTCTTTATTAATTAAACAGAGAGAATAAAGAGGTTGAGGGAGCACTATTTTATTTTATTTTATTTATTAACACGTCGGCCAATGTCCACCAAGGCAGGGTGGCTCGAAAAAGAAACTTTCATCATTCACTCCATCACTGTCTTGCCAGAGGTGTGCTTTACACTACAGTTATAAAACTGCAACATTAACACCCCTCCTTCAGAGTGTAGACACTGTACTTCCATCTCCAGGGAGCAGTACTGTTTGTTTTCCCACTATCTGCAGTGTTATTCTTTCTGTTGGACACATAAAGAAACTGGCTGGCAGAACATCTCCATTGATAGGTATCCAAATGCTGCACACGTGTCCAGGCCACCCAAGAATCTTGAAAGCAAGCTATACATACAAGTGTGGCATAACAATCACTGAACAATAACCAGGGCAAAGAAAAAAGTGGTCACGCTGGATGGTCATTGAAGGGTGGGGGGGGGTCAAAGCATCAGATACTGTGGGTAGTGGATAATTTTATTGGTATCAGCCTGAAATTGAATATCAGTGGAGAGTATTGGTACTAGTGGGTAGTAGCTAAATTTGATGGTATTGGAAGCTGCTTTAACAACTCTATTATGCACCCCATACCCTTCCTGTGGGTGGTAGTCAAAGGATCACACACACGCATACATACACAAATAAAAGTGGCAATTCTGTATTTACGGTGAGCAAAGTTAGGGTATTTTTCCAGAATGGTTTGTAATATACCACTGTGGATAAAATACATTTCTTGAACATTTCAAAGTGAGTTGTCTCTGAATTCATTAATTTTATCAGATTCCAGTGTATAATGATGCAGGGTGTGACAGTTGTTCATCAGGCACGGTTTACATTTCGTTTGGTCTGCAGCTGGTGGTAGTGATTTAATCTCCCAAAGATACTTT